GTTAGTTTATTTCATACCCAGGAGCAGGAAAGAAGATTTTCAAAGATTTAAAGCATTTTCACTATATAATCAATAGAGCCCCGCCCTAAACCAGAACCCCAGACCCAGGGGCAATGAAATTCACAATTTTTAAAGAAGCACCTATGCTCATCATAACTATGTACTAAGTTAATTTAGGTAATTCCCATGAGCAGAGAAGAAGATTTTCAAAGATATAATGCATTTTCACTACATAATCAATAGAGCCCCGCCCTAACACCAGAACCCATGACCCAAGGGCCATGAAATTCACAATTTTGGAAGAGGCAGTCATGCTTATTATAATTATGTACTTAGTTAGTTTAGTTCATACCCAAGAGCAGAGAAGAAGATTTTCAAAGATTAAATGCATTTTCACTATATAATCAATAGAGCCCGCCCTAACACCAGAACCCCTGACCCAGGGGTCATGAAATTCACAATTTTGGAAGAGGCAGCTATGCTCATCATAACTATGTACTTAGTTAATTTATTTAGTACCCTGGAGCAGAGAAGAAGATTTTCAAAGATATAATGCATTTTCATTATATAATCATTAGAGCCCCACCCTAACACCAGAACCCCTGACCCAGGGGCCATGAAATTCACAATTTTGGAAGAGGCAGCTATGCTCAACATTACTATGTACTTAGTTAGTTTATCTAATACCCAGGAGCAGAGAAGAAGATTTTCAAAGAAATAATGCACTTTCACTATATGATCTTTATAGCCCCACCCTAGCACCAGAACCCCTGACCCTGGGGCCATGAATTTCACAATTTTGGTAGAGGGCTCAATGCTTATTACAATAATGCCAACAGTTTGACTGCTTGATGTCCAGGAGTAAAGAAGAAGATTTTTAAAGATTGCATTAATTTTAGTGGTTTTAGCCCCACCCCACAGCCCCCAGGGGGGCAGGGACCATGAAATTCAAAATTTTTGTTCCCCTTCACCCATAGATGCTATATACCAAATTTGGTTGAAATTGGTTGAGCAGTTTCAGAGAAGAAGTTGAAAATGTTTAAATGTTAACGCACGACGACGGACAAAAACAGATAGCAATAGGTCACCTGAGTGACTCAGGTGACCTAAAAAGAGAATACTTCTGTAAACTTTATTCTTATAACGACCTAGCAGACCCACCAGGTAGTAGGAAAAAATATTAAAAGAATGTCCTTATTGGTTTTAATTATGTGTAGTTCTAATAATGGTAGGAGACAGAATAGCACTTGAAATGCATCTGCAGATGGTTTAAGCTGCGTAATTGCGTTAAAACGGAGATTTATGTAGAGAAAAAGGTACTTTTTTCAGTACACGCGGGTGTAGCGTATAATAAAGAGAGGAATAATAACGGCTGTTCTCAGATTTATAATGTTCATAGATTTTTGGGGGGATCGATTAATGTACATCAACACTTTATCTTTGGTAAATTTTATAAATGTGTTAAAAGTCTTAAATCTTTTATTGTTTGTGTCTTCCTTAAGGCTATCTGTTTCTTCATCTATAGATGAATTCATATTCTCATATTCAATCTTTCAACTTTAAGTTTAATATAATGTATGCTCAACCTTAACGCTGCTTGAAACATTGCGTAACAGACGCATTAGTTAAATTCAATAGGAATTTGATAATCGATATCTTTAAAGAGTTTGTTATTCATCATTCCATGATAAATATAGAATACAAAATACCAACTTCCAAAAACTGGATCATTTTTTTTTTTGATTGTGATTAATGCACTTTTTAAATATATATATATATATATATATATATATATATATATATATATATATATATATATATATATATATATATATATATATATATATATTTGCACTTCCTTTGCAAGGGCTTGTACGCTGCGATTTTGAATTTGATTTTGAAGAAAAGAAATTTAGCAGATTAGAAAAAGCGTAGTTAGGATTATGTCAAGACTACATTTATGTGAATAAGACAATTAAACATAACCCCAGATAGCAAGACATTGTTGGGCCAACGTTGGCCCAATGTTGGTAGTCCTACGTTAGCCCACGGTCATTTTGCTCATCGGCCCGACGTTGGTCCAACATGATGGCATATTGTTGGGCCAACGTAGGTATAATTGTAAGCCAACTAACAGCCAACCTTAACAACTGGTTGGTTAGGTTGGCCTAATGCTGGGCTTTTGTTGAAATGTCGGATGGCATATTGTTGGGTCAACGTAGTTACATGTGTATTATAGTAAGCCAACTAACACCCAACATAGAAACAACATTTGCAATCGGTTAGTTAGATTGGCCCAACGTTGACCCTTCATTGAATGATTGGTCCGATATTTACGGTTTATTGGCCTTAAGCTTCTTTCTGTTGGCCACTTGTTGGATGAAACTTACATCTGTTTAAATAAATTGAATGAATACTTCTTGAAAATACATTTATAAATAATTCTTTACATAGACCTTTCTCATAATTGTTTAAAAAAATAATACACACTTCAACCTGCATTCATAATGCATACACGTTCAAAGAAAACATTACAAGTGATTCACTGTAAAATTATTTTATAGATATATATCAATTCAATCAGAATTTACAAAATTACTTTTAAAATAGATAATGGTGGAAATGTATGAAAAAATATTAATTTAAAGTTCTTAATCCTGGCTCACTTCCTCTATCACTGCCCTTTTGTTTTGTTTCCCGCTCTTTCTTTTTTCCTCCCTTTGTCGCCTCCCCAGGCCTCCATCTTGATCTTAGGCATACGTACTTCATACAGTCCTTTATGTTCTTCAGTTTCATTGTCAGTTACCGCTACAACATTTGTTTTCCTTACATTTTCTGATTGAAAATACAAATAATTTGGTATTGGAAACAAAGCAAATACGTACAGACTCCAATATATAGATCATGTAATTAAGTCTTTTAAAGACAACGATGTAAAATACTACTAGTACATGTTGATCTATAAACCTTAGTATCCTTGTTAAAATCATAATCGTGTATGCAATAGACAATAAATGGAGACAAGTTGAAAGATGTTTTTTTACCTTGCTTATTATTGTATTTCTTAATGAGCACTAGAAGTTATTGTAAATAAAGTTTAAAGTACATGTATGTGCCAACTTTATACATACATATATAATTCATATTTACATTAACTTATATAGTGCTTGTGAGCATAAACAAGAAAAGGATGAATTCCGAACAATTTTAACAGTAAACTTGAATTAATAAGAATAATTATACTTACATCGCTTCTAAGATGCAGCTGTAACAATGGTAAAATCCATAGTTTTTAAATCTCCCTTCTTACTTGCTCTGCATTTTGAGTCTATCACCCACCTGTGAGCAATTGAATCTGACAGCTCACCCAACAGTTTGGTGTTTTAATCGCCGCGACTCTCCAAGCTTTAGCGAACGCCTAACTTTTGTTTCAATTTAATTATAAAGCTGTGTTATCTTGATTTATGTATAGTTAGGCTTCATTCACAGCCTGTTTTTGGGAACTTTTTAAATGTTATTCAGTCTTCTCTTATTCTCATGAATACAACGCTCATGAAATAATTCATAATTTAGAGCTAAGGATTAAAACTAGTAAATAATCATGCACCCACTTAAAAAAAAAAAAAAAAAAAAAAAAAAAAAAAAAAAAAAAAAAGAACAAAAAACTTTTTGGTGCTGTGATCACTTTAGTTCAAAGATAAGAATGGTGAAAATATCAGATCTAAACAGATGCAGTCATCCAATTAAAAGCAAGGACATCGAATGCCCTCTATTATTTCAGAATGTGCATCTAAATTAATGTTTTGCAATCAAATAAGCTTGCAACACAATAGTTCAATGGGGCAACATTGGGAACATAACGATTTAAGAACTTGGAACCAACGTTGGCCCAACGTAACGCTCATCAGCTTACATGGACACTATCATTTAGTTGGCAGTACAATAATTGGGCCAACATTGGCCCAATATAAATATCCCATCTTGAAACACTTCTACATGCTAACATCGGGCCAACACTGGGCCGACGTACTACTACCAACTTGATTAGACATTTTCAGTAAGGGTGTATTACAAACATTGGGCCAAAGTTGGGCCAACATTAGAATCCTAACTCCCTTTGAAAGTTGAGCGAATATAGAAGTTGGTTACGTTGGACCAACGTTGGGCCAACATAGGAATCCCAACATGATCAAGAAGGTTGACATGGTTACATTGGTCCAACGTTTGCCCAACGTTGTCCACCCAACGCCAACCATGCAACCATTTACCAATGTTGGCCCAACGTAGTCATGCTATCTGGGACACTAAGGCAATAATGTAATAAAAATTGGACTTGCAGTATGTGTCTATAAAAAAAAGACTATAAATTAGCAAAATAGGTCGCCCCTAAAGCGTGACTAAGAAGATGGACTTTTCGAATTTCCTTGCCCTATGTGTAAATCGCCTTCTTGTAGCTTTTGGGTATGCTATAAGCCGGAAAAAAAAGAAGCATGGTTTGTGATGCTATGAATCACAAATTTTACCTATGTCATGACATGGTGCCAAATAATAATCTGATAAATTTTCGTAATTAACAGCAACTCATTCTATAAATTTATACAGATGAGTATGAGGTTATGTCTTTGTGTGTACGATCCAGGTATAAACAAACTGCATATAAGATGTCCTGATTAAAAAATCACAAATCTAAATAAATCTTTTTTGTACTTACTTATTTTTCAGAAATGATTGCTTATCTGTATTGGAAAATTATTTTCTTGTTTAATGCTTACCGTTTTGAGACTTCATTCAATTTATTTGTCATTGATCAATCAGCAACTCGTAAGTAAGATGTTAACGATATGATTCAAGATAAAATAAACAACATGAACATTAACATCATATAGATGTATAAACATTTGATTTTGAAAATGGAGGAAAAAAATCAAACGAAAAGCAACATTTTTCTATATTGTTTATTCATTTCTGACAAGGACTTTATCTCATACTTCGTTCAAATTTTAGTTGTTTGTTTTCCTTACTTTCATCTCAGTAAATTTCAGGGAGTAATAGAACCCTTTCCAGTTATACCAGTTCACACCGTCAGCATAGGATTTATGTTTCCCTTTCAGGTAGAGACCGTTTAAATTAGCACGGTGACAGTCTGTGTACCACCAACCTGCTTTATGTTGCTTTACGCAGTTATCCTTGTTATCATGATCCTTTGTAGCAAACTTTGCATTATTATGGTAGGCCAATGAATCACCTGAAGAATGGTTTTGTTAATATTTCAAAGATTACTAGATACATGTATAACTTACGTATTTTAACACAATTTTCAAACAATATTAACATTATAAAGCGTTGTGGAAGATGTTATACTAAGCTTAAAATATATCTGAACACATGTTTTTATTGTTTTAGGTTGACTTGAGTCAATATTGTCGCATTATCTATTGTCTGTAATGTCACTTCTAAATATTTTATGCAAAGCAATGTTTGTATTTAATAATAATAATTAAAAGATTGTAACTTTTTAGAAATAATTTTCATATATGGAAAAGTTTATTACTTGTAAATTTTTATATCTTACCGGCATTTCCGCTGAAACCTGACACTTTTAAAATATATCCCGATTTCTCACTTCCTACTTTGAAGATATTGTAGCTTGCTTGTCGAGAATTTCCGGAAAAATCCTTCATGTCGATTCGCAGTTTATAATTTCCGGTTCCTGTTATTGTGTGGATATTGTCATTCCCTGTTTAAAAAAATTGTGTTAGTCGGTAATGCATAAAGATAGATATACATATAAACAACTATTAGCTTTCCTAAAAAGCTTGTCTGACTTGAGCAAATTTATTTTTACGTGAAGAATCAAGAAATGTTAAATACAGTGTAATTAACATGAGTCTGAGTCAAAAAATGAATTCTTTTGCTAAAAAACAAGAAAAGTTCAATTCAGTGGCATCAACATAAAATAAAACTTGACATGAATTTATTCTGTATACTTTATATTAGTTGTAAATTCTTTTTTCTTAGATGTAGGAACCGGAAGGGGGGGGGGTGTGTGCCCCCCCCCCCCCAATAATTTTGCCGATTTATATACATAGCTATTTTATGATTGTGTCACCTAAATCATGTAAATATTAACTTCTGATAACTTTTGTATGCTCTATAAGAAATTATTCCTTGATAAGCGTCCACTCTAAACTGAAAATTTCTGTAATTTCTCCCAACGGGTCTGTTCATGGATACAAAGTTATAACCAGTGTTTTTGAAAGAAAAAGTTGCAACACATAAAAATCTAAACATCAATTGGTGAACAATTTTGATAGTTAAGAAATGTCTTATTTAAAATAATAAACGTAGCTAACATCTTTGCATTTATTCAAAAGAATATTCAACATCTATCCTTCACTTTGATAATTTTTTAACTATGTTATAGTTACATTATAGATATTAATTGTTTATTGGTAAATACACTCACTATTTTTAATTCACGAGGGGAGGAAATCAAACATCTGCAAGTTATGAATATGTGTATATTTACAAAAATTCTAAAGGTAGAGAGACTTATTATGCATTGAAAATAAACATCCATTAGTTAATCTGATACAGATAATCGACAACTGTTGACCTGATCAGTTTCATTCCTGCTGTTTTGCAGGACATGAATGATATTCATTCGAGAATGGCCTAATGTTATATAACCTGTGATGTATAATTTGATAATAATGACATCAGCTCCAACACTCTGAGTGTTTTAGCATGTTTTCTTTACTCCACATGCTCTCCAATTGATAGTTAAGATAGTATGAAGTTTCCAAGATCAAGTTATCACAAGAATTCTATTGAACGACTTGACCAACAAGCCTTGGCTAAATCTAGTACTGTCTGACGCCATGACGTCAGACAAAGAAACAAACAGGTCAATTTCTGTCTCTGCAGAAATGTATTACATGTAACATCAAAACCGGACATTTTTTCATTGATAAACTGTGTATGTAAAAAAAAAAGGAGAAGTACAATGCAAGCTTTTCCTAAAAACAGTTTACAGAATATCCAAGTAAGACAAGTAACTGATACAGAAAAGTGGCACATTTTCTGAAAACTGAGCCGTAAAGAGCAATGTCACAGTGTCTATTTCCTGAGAGAAAAGATGCTTAAAATGATAATTCACTGTGATTTCTTTATTCTGTTTTTTATTCCTAGAAATGGGCTGTTGAAGCATTGCTGCATGTGGAAGAATGTACACTAATTTTGTTTTAACTATCTTTAATAAATCTCAAAAATAATTTAGTTCTTGGTTTGACTTTTGTAGAAAACAACTGTCCTTTTCTTTAAAAGAAAATATATTTTGTAAAATATTGTTCTTTATCCTTGAATCCAGAGGGTCCAAAATACCTACGTTCTACTTATTCTTTTTTTTTTAAATCAGGTTTTGTACCTTTATAACAGTCAGATGTCCAAGTCAGTCCAGGTCCATTTAGCATTAAAATAAAATTACTGAGGAAAATATCTAAACATTTTTTCAATGAGGGATGTATCTATAATTAAAGATATGTTGTATCCCTTTTACCTAGCCAAAATTCGTTGGACAGATTTCCAAACCCGTTCTTGTAGTCATTCCAGATTCTGTAGAAATTTTCAGATCCATCCTGTTTCCTTTGTATAACCTTTAAAATAAAATGATTAAAAGACTTATACGTGTATACTTTAATAAACCTTAATTTATATCACTTGCATGTGATTGGAAAACCGGGTTCGATTCTCGTTCTCCGCGTTGCGTCAAACCTTAAGACCTAAACATAAGTAGTGACAGTTCCTTTGCTAAGCACCAGGCATTATAGGTGAAAGTCAGGGGTCTTTCGGATGAAACCTTAAAAACCGAGGTCCTGCGTGTCACGGTAGGCGTTGGTCCGATAAAGTAGTGCTTCACTGCTTAATGGTTCTTATTGAAATATAGCAGACTAAATAAAAGCCTTTCATCCGTATATGACTACGTCTCTATCTGAGTGAAAAATTCTCACATTGGACGTTAAACAACATACAATCACGCAATATACCAATTTTATATCATATTATAAAACATTAATTAGCAAAATGCACTCTAATTTCTGTACGAATCAGAGGATTTAATTTCTTATTTCATAACTTTTAACTCGTCTCATATAGTAAAAAAAATTCTCTTGGGACATAAAAATACAGAATATTTTCATTCTTGAAATGTCTACATTATTTTTTTATTAAGATTTTATTAGTATAGCAAGTCTATTCGAATTGAATTTTGTCTTATTCAGACTTGTATTAATTTTGTGAATTATTGTGTCGATTTAAGTGTTAATTACCGTCCATCCACCACCGTCTGTCTTCTGATCACAGTAAACCTGGAATCAAGATCCTTTATTCTGGTAAATTTTGTACACCTTACTTTCTCTGTAACCTTTCACTAACAGATCCTGATAGTCTCTTGGATAGAATGTGTTTCTCTTGGCTGTGTGATAATATGGATATTCATTTAAACAATCCATATGTTTTTGAAATTGTTATAAAAGTTCTAGAGAGAAAAAATCCTTTAACCTGAAGTGCTCTTTAGCAAGTTATGCATTGATTTCAATTCCTCCCTTAATTTTCTTATATCTTCTTTTGTAGCCAACATGGTTTTATTTTCCTTCTTTTGGGTTTCTGTTGACTCAAGCTTGTTACAGTTATCTTGCTGAAGTTTGACAAGTTGTGAAACAAGATTAAGGAGTGTTCGAAAGGAATTCATTTCCGTCACACATGGATCTATTTCTTTAGCTTTAGCTTTATTTTTTATAGTTGTAATTGTAGTCAGCGACAAAATCAGTACAGAAGGCGCAAGATTCATTTTGATGTAGATCTCCTACGATGAAAACGTATGAATGATAAAATGTAAACATATAAAATATATGAATAAATATATAGATGTTTTATAAAATGAATTAAAAAGGTTAAAAAAAAACAGAATTGTTAAATATTGTTAAACATTCGAATAAAATATTATTGTAAGTTTTTTTTTTCTCCGTGAAGAGAAGCAGCGAGTAAAATTACTATAAAAATCGATGAGAAATTAAAATCTTACCTTCAAATTAAATTATCTTAAAAGGTTATGATAACCCGACTTCCGTTTAATGAGTTTTATCTGTTTTAGTTTTACCACCAATAATAATTTATTCCAATTCAACACTCACCTTTCCTACGTAACAATGCAAATAAGTACAGTCTGAGATAGGTTTGAGTGATACGAGAAAACGAATCTTTTATATTTTTTTCATTACTTGTGAACGTGCAACATATGTTTCTGATATTTGAACAAAGTCACGCTAATTTATATTCATGTCTATAGTTTTCCGAAACATTTTAGTTTCAAGATACCGTATCGCACAGAAAGCTGTTACTAAAAAAAATTCTCACTGCTCAATACCTTTAAGTACCGAGTACAGGTTGAAATTGGATGGCTACCCCTGATAAATGGTGGCGTTCCAAAATTTCTCTCACTGTAAAACCATATTAAAAAGGTGATTCATACAAAGAGGTTAACTAACTACATAAAATGGTCATCTCCATATACCAATTAACTGACAAAGTCCTAATGTCCCATTTAGAACATGAATTTCCAATAAAAAAGTTTTCCCCTGAGAGTCCAAGTATTGAAGAACAGAATTTGTGAAATTGCAATGTTCTTGAATTTTGAAGAAAATGGGTGAATTTGAGCATCTTCAACTAATAATAAAAATATGAGCCCACCCTGCGATCTAACAAAAAAAATTCTTTCATTATATAATTAGACATATTTTTCTATACTGAAATATGCAAGTTTAACTTCATGATTCGACACATCATGTGCGTTTCGTTTTATTCTCTGAACATACATTTTATATGATTTTCGAGTTTTTGTCTAAGCTTTGCATGTACAAAAAATTATCTGAAAAACTTTAAATACATTTCTTACCCCTATCCGACTTATCCACTTCAGCATGATACCTTTTCATGTTTTATAATATTGAATGTATATTTAAACTAATTTAGTGATGTTTTGCCTTTAAACAAAATTCAAACAAAAAAATATATCTTGTGTCATTACATTTTGTTTTATAACAATCTGCGTCGTCTTCAACGCAAAATCAAATAACGCAAAATGTAACAATCATAAAGAGCGTTATTGCATTCTGCGTTAATCTCGACGAAAATGTAATAACGCGAAATAAGTAATAATCCGAAAATTGTATTATTACATTTTTTATT